TATTTTTTTAAAATTATACCGAAAGTTTAGTTTTTGTTTCATTTTAGTACATTGCCATTAAAAACTTACGTTAAGTTTTGAAAGAACTTGAAAGTCAGGTACTGAAACGAATTAAAACTAATAGTTTATGTATTAAACTCGTTAAGTTTTTAACAGCAATGTACTAAAATGAAACAAAAAACTAAATATTATGTATGGTTTTCAATTGAAAGGCTAGGTACTAAAACGAATCAAAACTAATAATTGATGTATTAAACATGCAATTTACCCTAAAGTTTTTACAATTGACTCGGCTTCTTACAACCTATGGAGAAGAAAAATCTATAGATTTTGGAAGAGGCCAATACCAACAAATATGATATTGATGGGTCGTCAAACATATGAGAGGTTTATGTTTTAAGCGTCAAAATTACGTTAAATACTTACATTTTCCACGACATTATTAGTTCTTTACATTTTCTAAAAATTTATTTCTACATTCCTGTCTATTTTCTCACATCTTAAGCAACTTTTTAATAATTAATTTTAGGGCAAATTACATAAATAGGTCCCTATATTTTTAGTAGAGAAATATAAAATTTAACTTTTAGTTTCAATTCAAATTCGAGTAAATTGATTTTTTTTTATAAACTTAAATCGAAGAGAAAAAAATAGTTTAGAGATCTTTTTTATTAGAGAAATCACCGAATTATAGTAGAAATGAAGAAGAAAATATCGATAATTGTTAATTCTAATTCTGAAAAGATTTTTAAAAAGAACAAGACTTTAACATATCATTTCAGCTTTTTAGTGACAATTGATGACAATAATAATAATAACGAAAGCGAAAAAATGAAAATATTAACAAACAATTAGTTGGTCTAGTGGGATGAGGTATTAGATCCCTTAAGTAAGGTAAGGAGTTTGAATCCTAACAATTACGAACGGAACAAACTGGTTGGGAGGATCACCATTGCCTCTGCAGTATCCGATCTCGTAGTTCAAGTTTAATATTATATTTTACCAATATTATATGTTATCAATTAGTCTGCCAATAAGGTATTATTCTAATTAAAATCTTAATAATTTGGGTAAAGTACATAAATGGTCCCCCAATTATAAGTTATTGTTTTACTAGGTCTCTCAACTATTAAAAAATACACAATGATCCTCTGATTATAGATTGTTGTTTTATTAAGTCCATCTACTATTAAAAGTTAAAAAAATTATCACTCGACAATTTATTATGTTCCAAAGTCGTCATTTTTCGTTAAAAGATTGGCGATTGTCTAAGCTAGACGTTAGCATCATGACTGAGATATGATAGTCGTTTGAGATTTCAGAACCAGATTTTATCATATCATAAGTCAGCAGGTTAACGTTCGTCTCAGAATACCTCAACTTTTTAAAGAAAATGACGAGTTTTGAACAATATGAATAGTCACATGACCATTTTGTTACTTTTAATAGTCGATGGACATAATAAAACATTACCCTAGAGTTGAGGGACTTAATAAAACATTACGCTATAGTTAAGGGATCATTTGTGTGTTTTACCCTAAGAATTTTAAGATCTTAAATTAAAGTCTTGTTATATAAGTAGTCTAATGATATTATCGATGAAAAATGGTGTATTATGACGAGAAGATTCACTGCTTATAATTTAGACAAATAATTACAATCTATGATTCTAGTGAAGTAAAGAAAAAGATGAAGTGTGGTGTGTAGAGAGATATAGGAAGAGAAAGGGAGTTCATGATTCATTTAACAATCATACATACTTATTTACATATTAATCTTTAGTGTTATTATCATACCTAAAGTCATAATAATTATCTAATTATCTTTAAGACAACGTAGCAAATATATCTACCTATTGAATAATAAATTTAAGGGTAAAGTATAGTAATGGTCACTGAACTTTTCTGAAGCTTTCATTTAGATCCCAAACTTTTAAAAATTGTAATACAATCCCCCAACATTTCCCCGAGGTTACACTGTCGTTACATTCACCCAACATCACCGAGGTTACACTGTCGTTACAGTCACCCAACATCACCGTTTGCAACTATGAAAATAGGGTAAATTATATAAATGGTCACTTAACTTTTCAGGCGCTTACATTTAGGTCCCTAACTTTTAAATCTTACAAAACAGCCCTCAATTTCATTATAAACCCCAAATTCCAAAATAATTCAATTTCATTCTAAACCCCAAATTCTAAAACACTTTAATTTAAGGTTTAGAATGTAATTGAATTATTTTAGAATTTGAGGTTTAGAATGAAATTGATGACTGCTTTGTAAGTTTTAAAAGTTGGGGGACCTAAATGTAAGCATATGGAAAGTTAAGTGACCATTTATATAATTTATCCTAATTTTCATAGCTGCAAACAGTGATGTTGGGTGACTGTAACGACAGTGTAACGTCGGGGACCATATAGCAAACAGACTAAATGATGGGGGATTGTATTGCAAGTTTTAAAAGTTGAGGGACCTAAATGAAAGCTTTAGAAAAGTTCAGTGACCATTACTATACTTTACCCTAAATTTAATTATGATAAATCAAATTTAATATGGGTGGTAAATTTGGTCATGATAACCAATACTTTAAATTAAATCCTCATAAACAGCATGCGTTATCATCAAATTCAATATGGGTGGTAAATTTGCCATGATGTATTATTGTCGTTGTTGAGGCGGAACATACAAACTTAACCAATCACAAATCAGTCAATTAATTCAACAATAAAACTTGTCTAACATTACACCATATCTAATTAATAATATAAAATTTTTCTTTTTCTAAAATTTAGGATAAATTACATGTTTAGTACATAAATTATCAATTTTAGTCCATTTCAATACCTATGCTTTCATTTTTTTCAAAATTATACATAAAATTTAATTTTTGTTTTATTTTAGTACCCCATTCAAAAATATAACGTTAAATTTTGATTTTTTTGAAAATTTAAGTACTAAAATGACCAAAACTAATGGGTTAGGTACCAAACGACGAATTAAATTTTTAACGATGAATACTAAAATGAAACAAAAATTACATATTATGATTTTGAAAAATATACAAATTTAAATAATAAATCAGACCAATATTAATAATTTAAGTACTAAATGTGTAATTTACCTTAAAAAACTTAATAATAATAATAATAAAAGTAAACCGTGTCGGTTTTCAGAAATGAGCGGCCCGACTCGGAGTCAATTGACCGGCCATAACCGTGAATTACGGCAGAGTGTATGGGGGGCAAAAGGAATGCCACCATGGCATTTTCAAAATTTCCCACACGTGGCATATTGTAACACTGCCACGTCATAATAATATATTTTTATTAATTTAAATAAATATAAGATAATATATTCAAATATTTAAATTATTTGACATTAAATACTTATATTTTAGAGAAAATAATCTCAGTGACAAAAAATGCATTATAATATACGATTTTAACAAAAAAAATTTTTGGATTTGCCAAAATGACCAACTAAATCGCAATGCGATCGATAATTCGCAACGCGATCTCCGGTATCGTAAATCAGTTTCCATATTCGCAACGCGAACTTCGACTATCGCATTGCGATTTACATATTCGCATTGCGATATTCGCATTGCGATAGTCGAAGTTCGCGTTGCGATTTATTCCAAATTCGTTGCGATTTATTCCAAATTCGTTGCGATAGTCCATGTTCGCGTTGCGATTTATTCCAAATTCGTTGCGATAGTCAAAGTTCGCGTTGCGATTTATTCCAAGTTCGTTGCGGTAGTCGAAGTTCGCATTACGATTTATTCCAAATTCGTTGCGATAGTCCAAAATCGCAACGACGGTATTGCATTTGTTGCTTAAGAATTTTCTCTAAAAAAATAATATTCGCGCGGACGTGTCGAAGACACGTATTACCACGACCACGACCACGACCACGACCACGAGACGAGACGGGACGGCGGTGGCGGCAGCGCGCGAGAGTCCCCCTTGTTCTCTATCACTCAACAAAGAAGTGTGAAAGCCAAGCCTTAAATACCATTCCCAATAGTGTTTCCAATACTATGTGGGATTGAGCATTACCAACACTTGTTCCCAATACTATGTGGGATTGAGCCTTAAATAGTGATATTATTTTTGAATGTTTTGCTTAAAATTGCAATAATCGCGATTGATTGTAGATTGACTTTTAATTATGACATATTTAATCGTATAATACTAATGCAATTGGTTGTTGATTCAGTTGTTTTAAGGTGCATGATTGTTAATTGTTTCCTGAATAATCACATTATATTGGAAACAAGTGTTGATAATGCTGAATCCCACATAGTATTGGAAACACTATTGAGAATGGTATTTAAGGCTTGACTTTCCCACTTGTTGAGTGATAGAGAACAAGGGGGACTCTCGCGCGCCGCCGCCGTCTCTTCTCGTCTCGTCTCGGGCCGTGGTCGTGGTCGTTGTAATACGTGTCTTCGACATGTCCGCGCGAATACTATATTTTTAGAAAAAATTCTTAAGAAACAAATGCAATACCACCAGTCGTTGCGATTTTGGACTATCGCAACGAATTTGGAATAAATCGCAATGCGAACTTCGACTATCGCAACGAATTTGGAATAAATCGCAACGAATTTAGAATAAATCGCAACGCGAACTTGGACTATCGCAATGCGAATATATAAATCGCAATGCGATAGTCGAAGTTCACGTTGCGATAGTCGAATTTGGAAAATCGTAACGCGAACTTGAACTATCGCAATGCGAATATGTAAATCGCAATGCGATAATCGAAATTCGCGTTGCGAATCTGGAAACTGATTTACGATACCGGAGATCGCGTTGTGAATTATCGATCGCTTTACGATTTAGTTGGTCATTTTGACAAATCCAAAAAAAATTAATTAAAATCGTATATTATAAGATATTTTTAATCAATATTTTAAACAATTCTGATAATTAAATTCGACAGAAATAACAATAATTTTTTATGAGATCCATTTTCGTGAGGTGATAATAGCCTCAATAAATAAGAAAAGTTTTTAATATTTTATTTCACCCTCAAAGCTATAAATACAGTCTTTCACAACAGCTTAATAATTAAATAAAAATATCAGCAAAACTCCACTCAACTCTCCGTTTATTTTAACGGAGAAACTAACATTAACAACGTTAAGACAAAAAAAAACATGCTGACATTTATATGTCGTCGCCGATACAAAATCTGCCGGAAAATCGACAAGCAAAAGAGCGACAACATGACCTCTGTTTCATAATGCCACTAAAGGATCTGAAAAGAACAGATCATCGATGTCTGCAAAATAATCATCTACTTGACACATAGTCGACGACGACGACGATGAGCAGCAGCCAAAATCATCACTGAAAACAGTACTGCCTGGTAAAACCATCGCAGCATTATCGAAAACCGACAGCCCCGACACTGACACGTGGAAAATTTCGTCGACCGAAGGGAAATCGAGCGGCAAATCGAACACCGAAATGTCGGAGAAGTTGGTTTCGGTTTCGCCTTGACATTCGTTAAGAACCGATTGCGGCGGCGGCGGGTTACTCTCTTCTTCTTGGGAATCGGGAGCTTGTTTCTTCGGTTCTACCGGCGTTTCTTCATTTGACTGAGTTCGGAAGTTGAGAACCGAGGTTGGGGATGAAAGATTGTGAGTTGACTCGTCGCCGGACTCGTAACCGGAAACCGAACTGACGTTGATGGTTTCGGGGTTTTCATCGTTTTCTTCCATAGCAGGCGGAGTAACGAAGTTGGTCAAAGCGTCGGGTCCTCGGAGTTTAATCGCTGCATTATCATAAACCATGGCTGCTTCTTCAGCGGTATCGTATGTGCCCAACCACAGCCGTACACGTCGAGCGGGATCTCTAATCTCCGCCGCCCATTTCCCCCACGGTCTTTGCCGTACTCCCCTGAACTTCCTTCCATTCCCTTTCACCGAACAAACCTTAATCCGCCCACCACATCCGTTCGTGACGACACCTTCCGCCGCCTTCCTTTTCCGGTTAGAAACAGCGCTGACGCCGGCGACAACTTCTATGTTGATCTCGTTGACATAACGTTTCACTCTCCGACGACTACCAAAGAACTCAGCTTCCTCGTCGCTGGAAGAGTCCGTCGCATCATGGTCCATAACTGATACCCGAACGACCCTCGTGACATCAGCAACAGCGCCGCCGTGAGTACGGACGTGATCGGAAGCTCTTTTCTCTGGTTTTCTGAACTTGCGTGTAACACTTTTGTGCTCGGTGTATTTTCTCGGACATAAAACGCTTTCCTCCATACCCGATTGCTTTTTTTTTCTCTCTCTGTCTCTCAGATTCTATCAGTAAGCATCATCGACTCAGTAAAAAAAAGCAACAAAGAAGCAAAAAAGGCAAACGAACCGCGAAAGTGAAGCTTAAAACGACGAACACAAAAACAAAGGTGAACCCAGAAATCTGACAAAAGGGTATTAAAAAAACAAAGAGATAGTCCTTTCAACAACGCGAATCCGCCATGGGAGGGGCGGAAACGGAGATTAAAAAAAAGGGAGGAAGTGAAGTGAAGATATACAAAAAGGAAAGTGAGCAACTGTTTGCCTTGTAAAAAGAAACCCGAGTAAGTGCTAGGAAGTTTCTATACTTGTCACTGTTCTCTTCTTTGAAGATTTCGCTGATGGATCTCACTCGAGCAATGAAATCCAGGAAAAATAAAAGAGAAAATTAATTTTTTTTTCAAAGACACTGTACGGAGAGGAAAAATATTTTCAACAAAAGTGGGCAGAAAGTTTGTATGAGAAAGCGAGTGTTTGGTTGCGGTGGAGTCCCATAATCACTCATTTTACCATTTTATAGGATCCCGACAGCTGAAATAGGGAAAATAAAATAAAATCCTCAATACCATACCATACCCATCCAAGTATTGTTTTATTATTTTCAAAAAAAAGTATTGTTTTATGTTAATGGCCAAATTCTATGTTAAAGAAAGAGATTTTCTTTTTTGCCTTATACTCTAGCATAATTTGGACATTTTACTTCTATAATCATATCAATTCACCCAAGTTTTTAATCGGGTAAATTACGTGTTTAATATTTAAACTTTCAATTTTTTCAAAATTATACCTAAAGTTAAGTTTTTGTATCATTTTAGTACCACCATTAAAACTTTAGTTTTTTTGTTTTATTTTAGTATTCTGTTCAAAATTTAACGTTAAGTTTTGAATTTTTTTTGAAAGTTTAGGTATTAAACAGACTAAATTGATAGTTTAGGTTTTAAACGCGTTAAGTTTTTAATGATTAGTACTAAAATGAAATAAAAACTAAATGTTATGTATAATTTAAAAAAATTTGAAAATTTAGATACTAAAACGGATTAAAACTGATAATTTAGACACTAAATGTATAATTTACCTTGTTAATGTCGTTGCCAGTGGGATTCAAATAACATGTTTTACTTGAATCTATATTTATTTCGGTTGGCTGATTGTTGAGTTAATTATAATCAGGGACAGAGTTAATATTGAAATATAAGAATAAGTGTCTTAACTTTAAAATGTTTAAAGTCTTCAAGAGTAGTTAAACCTTAAAAATCAAGGGGTTAAAAGTTTCAAAACAAACTTTAGGGAACAATTTGATAAAACAGGTATATTTAGGGGGCAAATGGTTAATTAACCCTTTTAAGTATGTATATGTGTACGTATTCCCGTAGGTAATTTAAGTACGTAGGTATAACAATTATAGTTGTTCCATATACCGACACGTGGAGAAATGGGTCCCACAAGGCGTAATTTAGCCAATGGGATAGCACTAAACGGTGCTGACTCAGCGTGTGACTCACTCTCGGGCAGCGTGATGCCGGTCATGTGAGCCCCCCCAAGATACCCGGCCGAGTTTAAATCATTTTTTCAACCTAGTTTGACCCCAGTGGATTAATTACGCTTTGCTACCTTAATTACCGATTAATCTTAGTTTAGTAAGTCCAAATGAGCACGGACCAAATAATCTCAGTAGTAAAAGAATTATTGTTATTTCTTGAGATTCTATGTTCGAGCACTAGGAATGTTGCAAGAGCGTGAGCGTTCAAGGTCAAATGATTAAAAGTTATTTTTAAACAGATATTATCTTTTAGTTACACTGGATTAATTAAAAACAAAAAAATACAAATGATGGGGGCGTTATGGTAATCTTGGGAGTGTAGAACACCTAAGTTCTTGCTGGCTTTGTTGGAGAGTCAGTTGTTAAGTTTTCAAGTTGAGAGTTTAAAAACGAAATAATAAATTGTGTGGGGGGGGGTTTAATATTTTATGGTAAAGAATAATAAGAGTTTTTAAGAGCTAGAACGAACGTGGCGGTCTACCCTGAATTCGCTGCCATTTTATAAAAACGGTGCTGTACGTTCTCTGGGTTAAAAATTCCAACGTTATTTTCTTCATCAATAATTCATATATTAATTTTAATATTTTATTTTATTAATACGATAATAACACTATTTAAATTTTAGAATAAAATACACAAATAGTCCCTCGACTATAAGGAGTTATTTTCTTGAGTCCCTCATATGTTAAAAGTTATAAAATTATCACTCAACTATAAATTATACTCTAAACTTGTCATTTTCTGTTAAAAAATTAACGGTCGTCTAAGCTAGACGTTAATATACTGACTGAGATATGACTGTTGTCAATTTTTTAACAAAAAATGACAAGTTTGGAACATAATGAATAATCAGATGGTCATTTTATAACTTTTAATAGTCGAGGGGGTCAAAAAAGTAACTCCATGTAATTGGAGGACTATTTTATAACTTTTAATAGTAAAAAAACTTAATAAAACAATATCTTATAGCCGAGGGACCATTTGTACACTTTACCCTAAATTTTATTTACTTCATCATTATATAAATTTAGACACCCAATCACTAAATTAGATTTTTTTTATCAAAAATATATATTTAAACTATTCATTTATTTCAAAGCATTCTAATAAAGTTAATCTTTAATATTTCATTGGTTTTTTTAAGTATTGTCTATAATTTCATTTTATAACTTTAATCTTAACATTTCAAAAAATATCAAATAGATCCTTTTTAATTTTTTTAATTATATTGTTGTCCTTAAATATGGTAAAATTTAGATATTTAAACAACAAATCTGATAAACAAAATGGAGGTGATGATAGGGGAAGGTGGGTGATAATGTTTTGTTCCAAGAACAATTGAAGTTGTCATTGCTTGTCACATTAAATTCTTGGGACATGATATTTTGGTCCAAAGGGTGTTCGTTCATGAAGCTTAAACACAATCATAATTATTCGAATTTAAAATTTAAATTAAACTAATTTATATTATATCATGTATATAATTTTTATAAATTAAATAAATTTTAATTTAATTTTACAAAATTTTAAATTCGAGTCAAATCAATAGAGGAAAGTGTAATACACTGGTTTTTTCGTATTCGATCCCTCTTTGGAGGAGTCAAACTATTTTTGAAGGATAGTAAAAAAATTGTATAATTTGTATGAAGTTAAAATATAATTTTATTATATTATTTTAATTTATAATTTTTATAATTCTTAATTGATTTAAATTTAAATTTTAACCTTTAGGGGAAGCTAAAATGTATGTTTATCATTATTTTAGTATATATTGTTATTATTTAGGGTAAAGTATGTAAATTATCATTTGATTATAGGATGTTTTATTAAATTCTCTGATTATTAAAGATTTCAAAATAATATATCGATTACATGGCGTTGCTTTGTTGGGTCATCTGACTCTTAAAAGTCACGAAATGGCCATTCTAATATTCATATATTTCAAACACATCCTTTTTCCGTTAAAAAATTTACAACTGTCTTACCTAGGCGTTAACCTACTAATTAGGATATGATAAATATGATATTAAAATATCAAACGACTTCCATATCTCAATTATCTATTTCCACCAATCCAACTATATTAAATCGAAACTAAAAACTTTATACAATATAAATGATTCCTATATATATATGGGGTTAGGAATCATTTATATTGTATAAACTTTTTATATGGATTTAAGACCATTGGATGAGCAAAAATATATTATTGAGATTAACAATATGAAATGAGAATATATTCATTGAAAAAACGAGTCAATTTCAACAACCTATTTTCACTTATCGAATGATTTTAAATCTATATAAAACTCTTTTACTTATCCAATGGTCTTAAATCTATATAAAATTAAAGAATTATATATAGTGTAAGTGTATTTTATATATATATAATCTCCACATGGGGAGCATATCTCCAGAGCTCTTTCATTTCCTTCTTATTAATTGGAGACTATCAAAGCTTTCGATATAAATAAATCTCTACTTTATGTTATTTTATACGGCACTTGATTCATCAGACGAATTATCTCTAACATTCGATATTTTATTATCTTTACACCGGCATTCGACTTTTAAATTTTCCAACTTCACCATTATATGATCGATAGTAATCCATAGTAAGTAGAAGTGTTTATGATTCTCTCAATTTTGTGAATTTGTCTTAAGTGGGGACGACGTGAGCTCTTTCAAACTAAGATAGCGTTTCATTATATATATATATATATATATATAATCTTTAAAATAAGAAACAATGGAAGCTGATTTTCAGGGACCATGCTGGCATCCACTCGTGGTCACGACCATTAGCCATACGTATTAAATAATAATGAAACAAGTCTTAAAATATTCCACAATATAACTTTTCTCTTGGTTGATTTTGCGATGGTATTAAATATAATAATCAGTTAAGCAAAAATTATATCCCCGATAACATAGACAATTTTTAAATTCTTATTGCTTACTATAATTTTTTCCTATATAAAACGAGTGCGTAAACTAAAACAAACGTTTGGTATAACATTATTTAAATTGTAATATAATTGCCAATATTAGTGTTTGAATGTCGATTTTAGGGAGAACAATGAACAATTTCAGATTCAGGAGCATAAGCTTCTCTGTTTCAAAGTTGCATTATCCAGACGACAAAACAAAAGCAGCTTTTGCATTTCTTCTTTAACCAAGGCCTGTTTTGGACATCCTCGGTCCGATTTTAGCCTTAGGTATTGAAGTGCTAGATAGAACTGAAAAACAAAAATAAATGTAATATACTATATAAGAAAAAGATAGGCCTACCCCCTCGCACCGCCGAAGCTCACTTTAGCCCATAGCATACTTCTGGGTCCAACTCCTTGCAGTTGTCTCATACTTGGCTTTGTCCGTCTTGTACATGTGAGCAATCTCCGGCACCAATGGATCGTCGGGATTCGGGTCCGTAAGCAAAGAACAGATTGACAGCAATACCTGAGAGAACAAAATCATAAAGGAAAGTGGTAAACAAGTTAGAAGGATGAAACATAATTCATAAATACAATTTGGTCGTTACAACATTGGCTGGATCGATTTTTATCAACTGTTGATAACCTGAACAGGAATATGAGATGGTTAGAAATAATGACCTTGGAAATCGTTAGTGCAGGACTCCACTGCTCCTTCAAGATGTCTAGGCAAATGCTTCCGTTGCTATTGATATTGGGGTGGAATACCTTTGTTCTAAATGCCACCTGCAAAATCCAATATCATATGGAAAATCTTTGAGAGAGACAGTAGCGAGGGAGAAAGAAGCAACACACATTATCAAGAGCACACCAAGTGGACATGTATTTTAATTTTCATTTTCCACATTCGAGCCATCAGGTAGACACAATCAATGCATATATTATCAACTGCCTCCGTATACAATGAATGTCGTATGAAACCAAAAAAAAACAAGGATTATCTAATAAGAAGCATAATACTTCATTTCTTCAAATATAGATAAAATGGAGATAGAGAAATGAAGGTGGGAGGGCATTTCAAATAGTGTAGTCATGCAACTGGTTAATAGAGGTTGCTGTCCCACACATGATAGAAAGTGCATTGTCAAAGTTTTATAGCATTGAAACAACAGAGATATTTTGCATGAACTTGCGGATGTCAAACACCTGCTTCTATGTTCAACAAAAATTGCACATGAAAGTACCTTGGGAGGCTTAAAGGGATAATCAGGAGGAAAATGAATGGTCACAAGGAAAACACCACCCGCATAAGGACTATCCGGTGGACCCATGATTGTGGCCTGCCAATGAAACATGTCTTCAGCAACAGGGCCTGCAAATTCATCAGATAAACATTAACCAATATATGTAAGTAATAAAGCTCAAACATACTCGAGAACTTGTGAACACAACCAATTGCTGACAACACGAGCATAAGAAGCATGTGAAAATTATAAGCAATATTATGATTAGTCAGATAAGAGACTCGATATCAAATATGTGATGACAAGCAAAGTGGTGATACAATTACAGTGCTTAACATATACATTCATAAAACAAGAAAATTAGTATACTGCTATTCAGAATCAGACACAATTGTTAGCTATACTCCAAAGAAGCACATATAACAAACAAACAATGAAAATTGCTTTGGAATTCTCATGAAGCTCAATCAATTAGACCAGGTTTTAGAACTGCAATTTATCAACTTGATTTACAATCCAGGAATTAAAACATTTGCACCTGAATATGACCATATACTACATTACAATGGAAGATTACATCACACTACAGGTTACTTTCCTAGTTTAACCTGTCATGCCAGTCTTGGACATAACAAATACAGACTTGGTCTAGGATCAGCTGACATAATAATGAATATTAAGGTTATCATTTTCTTTCCACTTAATCTCGTATTATAATCCCATAAGGGGTGAAACACCAAACATGAAAAAAATTAAAGTAAGTATTATCTTTGGAGTGGCAGGGTTTCCAAAGTTCAATCCCAAAGCATAAGACTTCAATTGATAATGGCATAATGCCGCCACATGATGAAGTGCAATCTAAATCATCAATGTCTAAGCATGATAAAATGTGTCAAAAATATTTGTCGACATTAATTGAGAATATAATAGACAATATATACATTTAGAAGGGTCAAACACAATCCATAGACTAGACATGCTATAAACTATGAGACTGACCGAATATGAAAAATGAGGAGCACTTCCATGTTTAACACACATTTAATTCAATAAGAGCTTCATTTGAGCATAACAAATTGCAAAACCATTTTATCAAGGCTTAACATTTTACAATTGCTCTTTTTCATGCTATAGTTGTGCTGGTTCATAACAGAACATGATAAGCGAAACAGATGCTACGGTGAAAAGGAATACAAACTTAGCTCAGCCATCCTATTTCAAATGTTGCACACGAAATTACAACAATTTTAAAATAATCACCAATGAACATAACTAATTATAAAACATTATTGTTGCAAAAATTACTAAAATTATATTAAAAAACATGAAACCACAATCATTTCCAAACAATCACATATAAAAAATAGTAATAACTTTTAACATATTTTTGTCAAAAATTACCAACAACGTCAAAAATATATACGGAGAATTCTATCTTCTTACACGAAGATTATAACAAGAACGTATCAATAAATGAGAAAGATGATAAAAGAAAAAAAAAAACAACTCGAGATTAAGATCATTTTCTCTGGCAACAATCACAGATAAATTATATCAGACTGATACTTTTTGATCCTCGATTCAAACAGTAAAACATATACGCATACATATCTAGCAAGTGATCGTCTTACACGAAGGCTAAACAAAAACACGTCAATATAAAAACATAATAAATTAAAAAAAAAACAACGAAAACGATGGATTCATAGAGAGAGCATATATATTATACCAGCGCTGCAAGATGTAGGAGGATCCTTCTGCAAATCCTTCAATTCCTTCAAGATCCGCTTCGATGCCATCGCGAAACCTGCGATTCATTCAACATAGATTGAAAAACTAAATCAAAACAACAGAAATAATAACAGCAATAATAAAGAATGATTTGAGATCTAACCTCAAAAGATGCTTTCGATTCAAATAGGAGGGGAGAAAATGAAATCCGAGATGGAAGAAGAAGAGCCTAATATGAGAAGAAAATAAATAAGAACCAAAAAAACGAACGAGAAGAGAATTAAAGATCGGGTGTGGAGGCGGCCTCTTATAAAGGGTGGAGAGACCCTCAATTGAGAGTCTGTGATTGGTAATTAAAGTAAGTTGTGTTGTGGGTCCCATTGCTTTTGTCACCCCGGTTTTTACCGAAAGTTGCCGCCAGGAATAAGTCCGTTTATTATTCATTCATTCATTACTATTATTATTAAGGTAAAGTACATTAAAAATCAATTAATAATTTTATATTTTAAAATTATAAAATAAATATTAAATTTATTAAAATATTACAAAAATATATATTAAAATTAATTACAATATTATTAAACTATTATTATATTTATAAAAAAAATTGATTAATATGAGGTAATTAAAAGTAGGGGTGTTCATTCGGTTAATTCGGTGGTCGAACCGACCGAACTATCATTTTCGAATTAATCGAACTTTTTTTTTCTTTAACTGTTAACCGAACCGAATTTTTTTTCGAAAATATTAATCGAACCGAATAAATTTCGGTTAATTCGGTTAATTTTTGAATTAACCGAAATTTTTTAGAATTTTAGAATTTAATATTTTTTAATTAAAAAAACAATTTACTATTAATTTAAATAATATCTAATTATAAATAATATCTAATTAATTTGATTCAAACATTTTGCATTTAGTTTTGATATTATTTTAATTAATTAATATTGATTTGAGTTTTAAATGGATTGGGACTCTTAATATAATTATATTTAAAGGTTAATTCGGTTAATTAACCGATTTCGAACCGAATTAACCGTTAACCGAATTTCAAAAAAATCCTTAACCGTTCCCCGACCGAATTAATTCGATGGCCGATCGAATTAACCGAACTAATTCGATTCGGTCGATTAATTCGGTTAAAACCGAATTTTGAACACCCCTAATTAAAAGATGAGATTTGTTCATATATAACTCTTCACCATTTGAGTTAATATTAATCTAAATTAATTTGAATTAATTAGTAAGTAAATTTTTTAATTAATCTAGGATAAATAAAATGTAATATTTGTTAAACGATAACTTTCAACTATTTGACATTAAATATTTATTCCCCTTATATATATGGTGCACAAACTAGAAATCTCAAATAATAACAATAATTCTTTTATTATTAAAATCACTTAATTCATACAATTAATAAATAAGTTAATATCAAAGAAAATAATAAAATTATTATTATTATTATTATTATTATTATTATTATTCTGATTTTACTTTTTTTACTTTTTGGATAAAAAAATTTGTGTTCCATTAAGTGGACGTGAATGAGATTCTTTAGCTTCAACGCGTTGTCCGTGGTCGTTCGAGGAAAATTCGAAACGCACCCGCAGCGTCGCTTTTTGGCTTTTTGCATGTTGTGGCGAGCGCCGTACGGGTGTATTAGGGTGTCGCTTTCGTGTTTATGATTGGGTCCGGCGTGGAACGTACGCGTTTGTCAATTTGAGTGAGCTCGGTCCTGGCTGACCGTCCGCGTTTGGGTCAAAACTCAAAACCCGTGAGGTCATCATCAATTATAACATAATTTCCTCACTGACGCCTGATGATGTATGCTTTCTGAAATGACATAATGGTCAAAAAGTCCTCAACATTCATCACTTATTCATTTGCATCCTTAATGTTTTTCTTTGGTCATGTTAACTCTTAAAGTCTTATGTTTTTCAAATAAGCCCTTTTGAATATTCAATTGAAGGTTAACAATTTTGTTGACATTGTTCATGCCAACTTGCCAAGCCATGAACGTTCTGTTAGAAGTTTTGATTTCTAATATTGATTCATATAATTTAAGTACTTGACAATTGTTGTTGTTGTACACACGATAATGATTAGTGTAGTATTGAGGAGGCAATTATCTGGTGTAAATCTCTCCGTCTCATACTGTGAAAATATAAGTTTTAGTGATGTTATGTATAACTGAAAAATAGAGGGACCTTTTGATTATTTCGTAATTTAAAAAATATAGTGAAATCAGATTTTTTTACTCACGTAGCTGTCACTTTTTGTTTCTCAAGGCTCTTTCTTTTTTTCTCTTAAAGGAAAACAATAATACTATCTGCTTTGGGTTCTGATTCTTTCATAAAGAATTAAACAAGTCTTGATATCATCACAAGGCGAATTGAAGATTATACAATATTAGATTGTATAACATTTATTATTTATTGCTTTTGGGATATTCAACTATCATAATGGAATCATCACGTAAATTATCATTTCTTTTACTGTAATTCTTAATAATTTTGTCATGAGCTTGACTTGGTTGATTTAATTACCCTATCAAGATCATTATGTGTTAATTGCTTCCGCATGCAAGATTAATTGATTTTAACATTTGACTTCATAGCCAGGTTTGATAGGAATTAAATCACCAATTTATGTTTCATAAGAAATTTGGGCATTTTTTCTTATTAAAGGTTTCATAAGAAAATTGGATATTTTTCTTATTAAAGGTTTCATAAAACATCTTCAAATTCTCCAACCTCATATCAAAATTTGATTGGCGTAGTTAATATCTTTTTTTCATAATATATATATATATATATATATATATATATATATATATACACACACACATGTATATATACATACATACATAAATAAAAAAAACATACACACACATATATATATATAAACACACATATATATAAACATACATACATAAATAAAAAAAACACATACACATATATATATATATATATATATATATATATTAATGTATTAAACATTAATTAAAAAACACATAAATCAATATACACATGTTGAAAATAAAACTTATGTTTACTATCTCGCTACGAATGCGGACATTACGAAACTAATCAATACTATTCTTATCAATATGGTAAATACAGAATGTGGGATATGCATACAGAGGTATCCAACGACTTCATAGTCGTTCAATTGTCGCCAAAATGCATGTTCCTCGATTGGATATAAAGCAAACTCCATCTTCTTGAACGACATATTAACGTAGATTGGTAAAAAGAAATCTCAAGCCTCAATTGTCTCTCATTCAACAATGGCGAATGCAACTGGAAGATATTTCTCCCCATCAATTTTCAGAATCAACATGAACATTTAATTCCAAATTATGTATGCTTCTCGCCCATACTCTACTGACGCGGATGTCCCATCAACTTCATTTTCACTTTCCAATAACGTCATAAAACTGTTTATTGATTTGTATTTCGGGTCCTCAAGCTCATTTCCAAAAACCATCTGAGATGAATTTTAAGTCACATTTCTTGATGATCCATAAACATCGGATATGTTATGCACCTCAACAAATAATTCAATAACTGCAATATTTGTTGACTCATGTAATCCAATCATGGTTTCAATTTCATCATCTTCTTCAGTTGGTACTGCAACATATCTAATTGGATTGGAACATACCATAAATATGTACCTCAAACCATCAACTTAGCTCGAATTTTTCTTTATATTCTATACTTCATTTCTACAAATATGATGTCCCTTTTGAACGTCATATTTATAGATTTTTTAAGATTGAAAAACAAGTTCAACCTTTCTTTTTTATAATATGTCAATTATAATGGACAATCGTGAAAAAAAATGTTGCTCATGTTCTCTAAAAATTAAAATTTGTTTAATTTAGAATAAAATATACATGTATATATACTATGATAAAAATTACTAATCATAAAATACTTCAAGTAAAAATTCTTCACACTTGATTGTTTCTTCTAACAACTTGATTGGGACAAAAATATTTCGATCACTCTTCTTCTATGAATTGCTTCCTCTGTCAATTGCTCTCCCTTTCAAGCTCCTACGTTTTTTTGCTATAACACGTTCCCAAACAATTGGTCCTTCGTTCGTATAGATATGTGCCCAAGCTAAAACACTTGCCTTTCCATTTGAGCCCAAGCTAAAATCTTGTCTCATCGGGACCGAAAAGAAGTGAGCTTATTGCAGAATCATGTGCAGGCCACCTGGTGATTTGTAAACCAGCAGATATGTCTTTGACCAGCCAAGGAGTATTCATATTACATTCTAGATTCAGCACAAATGCAAAACTGCAAAAATGAGTATTCTTCTCCTCTCTTAGTTATTTCTGTGGCCTTCAGCTAGAGGGCTAACCAGCCCGTGAAGAAACAAGAATGACACACTCAGACCTAGTTTTCTAAGGTACTGCGATCCATGTAGCAGGTAAAAAAATAGGTGTCTCTAGTTAATATTAGAATTCGAAATCGCGTAGCAGAACAAAATCTATTAATGCAAAAATATGAGGCCATAAAGAAAAGGATACCAAACATGTGAATCATTCCATCGGTGGCAGACGCAGCTAAGATCTTCCCATTGTGATTGAAGCATAGGGAAGTAATTGCAGGCGGACTTCACCAAGAGGAAGGACTGTCTTCAGTGAAATGAAGTCTATTAAGGCATAAATTATTTTTAAATAAGACACTTATCATTAATAAGCATTCTCTACACATACAACCACATACCATAACTTTCCATGTTTTCATGTTCCACACGGTCAACAAAGCATACCCCAGAGAATCAATAGAGCTTGAACCAGACCTGAAAGGATTACACATCCAACTAATCTCACACCCCTGATATTATTTTACAAAAAATGGGAGAGCAGAAAAGCTATACTACGATAACGAGCAATAAATCTTCCAATGGATTCTAAATAGTTGCTACCCACAATAATAAAATGATATTAGCAACCTAGCATATCTAAAAAACCAAATTGAGTGTGAATCACTGAGTAGGTAACAATCACAATGAACGTAATAATACACGCCTGTGAAAACAAGTGGCTATGTAGAGCTAGATCTATACCTTCGTAATGATGCAACAGAAACAAATATTGGTTCTACAGGGCTGCAATTTAAATCCAACACACTGCAAGATGGCAAGAAAAAATGAAGATGAAGAAGCCTAAATAACTAAGAAACCTCTAAATATGATATTCTAAGTTTGTACCTTGGAAACGCCGCAGTTGTATTCAGATCACAG